CACTCGTCATTATGCAGGGTCATCAGGGAGGCCCCACTACCTATCAGGATGGAGAAACCCCCATCCTTAGAAACATATGATGGCAAGAATGACCCGGACGACCATATCGAAATGTTCAGGGAGCCATCAAATGCAGGTTGTTCTCCACTACCATGAGAAAGGGCGCCATGGCATGGTACAAATGCATCGCACCCGAATCCATCACCTCCTGAGGCAAATTGAAGAGGCAGTTCTCTAGGCACTTAACGGCCTCCCGACATCATCCGAAGACAAAGGCAGCTCTGAAAGCCATTATCCATGGGAAGAACAAACCTCTCTGAGACTACATATAGAGGTTCAACCGAGAGGCCGTCCAGGTGTTCACCACAGATGACATGAAGAAATTCCTGATCTATAGAGGCATAAAACCTCACTCCGACTTTGCCAAGGACGTTGGGATTAAACGTCATTGCACCTTGCATGCCCTTCTCCATAGATCCCAACCATACATTGAGTATGAGGAGATAAAAGTCGTGAACTCTGCTAGGGACTTTAGTCTTTGACTTTATCAATCTTTTAAGTCTTTGGAGCTCGTCAAAGGTTTCGATTTTGATATGGTGTTGAGAGATCCTTCATCTATTTGCAAGACTCCTCCAAACCATATCTCAAGATCTGATTTTGAGATTTTTCCAAACCATAGTTCAAGATTCCAGTTGGAACACTCCTATCGACGTACTCACTCCTATCGACTTATGTCAAACAATGCTAACACTTAGCATTTTCTTAATGCAACATTCAATTGACTTTTCTCCTAAATGGAAAATCCAAGTCAACATGGGGTATTTCCATACCTCTACTTTTATTTTCGTATTTTAATTTTGTTTATTGTTTGTTGTTCATGATAGTTTGTGTATATGATTGCATGTATAATTGTTAGATTTTCCCTAAAACTTGAGTTGTTAATAATAATTTTCTTAAAAAGTTTTGAAGTTTGAGAAAAACTTGAGAAAGTATATAGGTTCGAAGAGATGATATGCTAAGTTTAGGGACCATGTGAATATTGATAAAATCAGTATTACATGAACACTCTAAGTTTGCCGAGTAGGATACGAGTCAAACGTGTACTTTGTACCATAGTATACCAATTTTGAGAAATACTTCAAGAGTAGTTTATTTTGACAGTCTAGCATATTCTTGATTCACATGAATGTATGATTGATTGAGAGAAAAAAATAAATTTATGTTAGCACTAAAATGATGAAAAATGGTGGTATAAGACAACTGCACCCTCTATGTTGGGTAACTCTGCTTTGATTATTCAACCTAAATACGGTTGAACCCCAATGTCATTCTAAAATGGGCAATAAATAAACATACAAAAGTGCGTAATTTCATATGCAAATAAGAAAGGAAAGTAATTTCTTATCCGATGTAAAAATAAAAATTATCGATTGATCTTATATGTGTGATGATTATCGTAATTCTAATTGCCTTAATTTGATTGTCTGAACAAAATATTAGAAAATAAAAAGACTTAAGTCAAAAGCATAGTTATAAAGGTATCTAGAATAGGAAACTTTTCTCTATATATGTTTTGCAGGCTTGTGTTCTTGTTATGCTTTTGGTGTCGATAAGTATCGGGGAACTTAGATCTTAGCCGATCGGAACAATAAACCATATATGAGTATCAACGATCTTATTCTTTTAAGCTTCTAAAGAACTAAAACCGCTTGATCATAATGTTTTCAAATCAAGCTTGTTCCTTGAGGACAATCAATGATTTAGTTTAGGTGTATTTGATAAGTGACTATTACATCGTGGTTTTAGCTTCTTTTCTTTTCGTTTTCTTGTGTGTTTCCATCATTTAGTCCAATTTTATGCACTTTTGATGTTTTTAGGAAATAAGAGAGTAATAGACCTAACTTGAGTGAAAAAGGTCAAAAATGATGCAAAAAAGGAACTCTCGTCATACAAGATTCATGTGGCCAATACCCGGTTGGGTAATGTCAAATGACATAGGCCATGTTGGCCCAAAAGCTGCTTTCCATACAAAAGAATTGGGGGAAACACAAGAAGGTCATGTCCTCTGACACATATCGTGTTTCTTGACACAATCAACTGACACACCGTGTCGCACCTAGTGACAATTATGATTTCAATGGGTTTTGAGCATTTTTGTCACTTTTGGACACCCATAACCTCCCAATGCTTTATATTAGTGAATTTTAATGAGTGACCACAAAAATTATTGTTGATTATGAGTGATTAATGACTATATTTATAAATAATGCTCTTGAATTTTAGAAAAACGAACCTATCACTTGTTACTTGCTTCTACTTTGTAATTTGAAGCTTTTGTCTCTTGCTCTCATTTATATTGCTATGCACACTCTTGTAATTCTTTGGTTTTCTTTTAGATCAATCAAGTTTGCTTCAATTTAGGTTACTTATATTGTTTTACTTTGCCTATTTGCATTCTATGTCTTTCAATTGCTCAAGTGTGTTTACCTCACCATGAGTGAATAGTCTTATAAGGACCAGGGGTCATAAAAGTCAATCTCGTTACGATCCCTAATCGATTTATCTGAACATACATTATGAGAATCCTAATTACTTTTATTTTAGAATCCGAGTTATTAAAAATATTTGTTTTAGTTGCGAAAGCAAATGCAACCCAAAGACGATCATAGTCTTAAAGAATATGAGTCGATATCAGACCACTAATTGCTAAACAATAGAGTAAGCGAGGCGCCCGTCGTGATAAGGAAACTCATTCTCGATTGAGAAGTCGCTTAGCCTCACATCTAAATGTGCACGCCACAAAAGTGGGTGTCACACATGTTTGTCTACTTTTCTATAAATTACTTATAACATATTTGGATTGACTCCAAAGCAACTATAGAAGTGTATAATTGGTTCTGGATTGATTTTAAGGTGTTTGGTTATTCTAAAGTATAACAGGACCTCTAAAATGGATTATACTTGAAGCTACAATTTGTAGCTTATGAGTTTAAACATGATTTTTACACTGAAATTTATCGTTTAACTCACTTTTACATAAATATATAAAGAATAAATCAATTATGCTAAACTCAACTATTAAAATAATTTCTACCAAACTCAATTATGTTAAAATCAATTATGTACACCGTTAATCCAAACACACACTTAGATATTCTCTTGTTCAAATTTGGATAATCGATCGGGTAAATATGGATAGATGATCACAACCCCGTGTCCTGTTTTATTCATATGTTAAACTTTATTTCAATTTTCATTAAACCAACCAATATTCCAATACTTTAGCTAAACACCGTTAGGATAAAACTTGATATTTGTATGCATCTCCCTGTTGGTTCGATCTTATTATACTACTTGACATTGTCGTGCGCTCATGATTGAGCAATATTATGTACCATAACATGTACTTTTTTATGCACTAATGCAAAATTACGCTTCTCTAAACTCACTAGATCGAGTGCTAAAATGCTAACCTTGCAAGTACATCATTAGTTCATCGTACTAGAGATCCATACCACTGTATCAAAAAGCAATACGTTTACGTGTGAGTAGGAGTGGAAAAATGGGTTAGGCATGCCCTTTTAACCAACTATTTTAGAGGGTCGAGGCGAGGTTTTTGACTTGGTGTCTTAATTTGGTCCGCCTGCCTAATCCGCTTTTAAAATAGGCCGAGGGTGGGGCAGGGCGGATTCTACCTGCAGACTTTTTGTTAATTTTTTTAAACTTGAAATTAAAACAATATTAACGTGGTTTGTAGTATACATACTTTTAAAACAACCATAAGTGATTCAAACACTAATATTCTTTTTTCACGTAATCACAAACACCTCATTTTGAAGACATTAACTGGTCTCTACTTTGTTCTTCAACTTCACTCATAGTAGGAAAAGTCTTTATTGCAAAGCATAGAGAATACATTGATAAATCTACTGATTTTGATGTCGTTGATCTTGATAATTATTAAACAGTGTGTGACAATGAGGAGAGAGATGATGGAATGTTCCATCTAATGACCACAATATCAATCAATCCTTCTCCACATGTTCACGACATAGATGATGATTATGAAGTGTTTGACATGAAGTCTTTAAGATTGTTTTTTTTTTGTTATTAGTTCTTGGTTGTCTTTGTTTATCTTGTGCTAGTTTGTTTTGTTGATTTGTGTCCTTAACTAGATTGTTCTTGTTAATTTTTTGAACCAAATAGATTGTTTTGGGGGTTTTAGTGTGTTTGTTTTAAGTTTTTGGTATTATAGTTACATTGTTTTGTTGATGTTGAAGAATATGATATTTACATTAAAACTTGTTAAAATTTTATTATGCGTTGTTAAAATTTATCCGCCTTTTTGATAATAATTAACAATTTTGTAAATTATATAGTAAATTAATTTGTAAAAAAATAAATTGGTCTACCAATCTATCAACCCACCAATTCGTTAGTAAATAGGAGATACTTGATTGCTGAACTCAAACATCTAAGTTAACCTGTCCGCCCCACTCCGCTTTTGAGTGAACTTAAATGGAAGAGATTTAAACGAGACGGACAATCCCTTTATATTTATTAAATTTTGAGTAATTTTTTTTTATGATTTGAATATAAAATATAAAATAAATGTTTAAAGTATAAAGTGAATGTTTAAAGGTTAAAAACATTTAATGATAGTTATTAAAAGACAATAAATACTGTAGTTTATATTTGACATTTGTATTGGACCATTTTTATTTTGTAAAGATTTCGTCCAATTTTAAACTTAATACATCTAAATTTTGTCCAAAAATTTATTTCAAAAATCTATTTACAAATTTTAAAAGAAAAAAGCTACCTAATTACATTTTTTTGTTGTTTAAAAGCCTATTTAAAAAATTTCAAATAATTTAAGGACAACAAATTAATTTTTATAAGTATTGTTTTTATTTTTATTAAAAAAAAATTGGGCACCTAAGTTGCAAATTACAATTAAAAAAGGAAATTTCTTTCAAGAATTGCAATTAAAAAAAAAAATGCAGTCGCAAACCCAATCCCTATGGCCATGTAGACTTGCGTGCGTATGCTTAGGCATCAGCAACAACAGAATCAGAACAACACTTCCAAACAACAAGAGAAGAATTTCGAAGACACTGCGAGTCCGAGCAATGCGAGCGGTGGTTCAGCGCGTGGACTCTGCATCTGTCGAAGTCGAAGGCAGCATCGTATCGGAAATTGGTCCCGGCCTTCTCGTTCTCGTCGGAATTCACGATTCCGACTCCGACGCCGACGCCGACTACATGTTTGATTCTATTCCTCTTTTTCGAATTTCAATTCAATAATTTGTTTGATATATTTACTTTTTATTAAATGTAACAGATGTCGAAAGGTGTTGAACATGAGGCTGTTTTCAAATGAAGATACTGGCAAAGCATGGGATCATAGTGTCATGCAGAAAAATTATCAAGTTTTACTTGGTAAAGTATGCAACCACATTTATAATCGCTTATGCTATAAGTTGTAAATAAATTAAACGGTTTATCCAAACAATACCTTATTTTAATAACTAATACATAAGTCATTGATAATGTTTGATTATGCTTAATTATGTTGTTCTAATTGCTTGATTATGGGTTTGTACAGTGAGTCAGTTTACGTTGTATGGAATCTTGAAGGGTAACAAGCCAGATTTCCATGTGGCAATGGCGCCTCAAAGAGCCAAGCCCTTCTATGCCTCTTTAGTGGACAGGTTTAGGAATGCTTATAACTCTGATGCAATCAAGGGTATGTTATCCGCTTTTTGTTATACTTCAATTTATATTTCTTTTATTTGATTTGATAAAAGATTTTACTTTTGATACATTGTTGGCGTAAACAAATCACAACCAACCATATGTGTGTGATTTTAGAACTAGTTCATTAAATTGATACTTTGACTTCTCAGTAAGTGTAGCATGTTGGTGCAAAGATAGAATAAATAATGAAATAGGAAATATTACTAATAAGAGAATGACGGCTACAAAACATGACATTAGGTTACAATGATTGTCACCCTATTTATAAGCTAAAACTAGGGTTACTAGAATATGATAAATACTAAAATACCCTCTAACAAACTTATGGGCTAAGAAAATAGTACAACTAAATAAATATGAATTATCATTAATATTCTAATACCATCCCTTAATTCATATTCCATCAAAACTTGTAACACCAATTCCATCCCTTAATCTGAGAAATTGATCAGTCTTGATAGCTTTCGTCAGAACATCTGCCAACTGCTTCTGAGTGCTGCAGTGTACAACTTCTAACACTCCACTCTGAACTTAATGTCTCAGAAAATGATACTTGGTCTCAATATGCTTGCTTCTCCCATGCAGCACTGGGTTTCTGGCAAGGTTGATTGCAGACTTGTTGTCAATCATCAACTTCAGAGGTTTGTCTACCTTAATCTTCAGATCCTGCAACAGATTCAGAATCCACACAGCTTGGCATGCAGTAACAGCACCTGCAATGTATTCAGCTTCACAGGTTGACAACGCCACAACAGGTTGCTTCTTGGAACACCAAGAAATGGGACCTCCCAGAAATTTGAACAAGTACCCAGATGTACTTCTTCTGTCAACTCTGTCTCCACACCAATCAGAGTCTGAATAACTCAGAAGTTCTGACTCATTATTTCCTCCAGAGGGAAATAACACTCCATACTTCAGAGTTCCTTTGATATACCTCAGAATCCTGACAGCAGCTTGGTAATGGGACCACTTAGGTTTACTCATGAACCTACTAACCATCCCAACTGAATAGCAAATATCAGGTCTGGTATTGCACAGATACCTCAGAGAACCAACCAACTGTTTGAAGGTTGTAGCATCCACATCCTTTCCTTCAGAGTCTGAATCCAGTTTCTGATTTGTATCAGAAGGTGTGACAGCCATCTTACAATTTTTCAGATCAAATCTCTTCAGAAGTTCTAATTCATACTTGAGCTGATGCAAAATGATACCTTTCTCAGAATATCTGAACTCCATCCCTAGAAAGTATGTCATTTTGCCTAGATCAGTCATTTCAAATTCATTCATTAGAACCTTCTTGAACTTGGCTATCTCCTGTTCAGAACTTCCAGTCAATAGTATATCATCAACATATAAACATACCAGAGTCATATTGCCTTCAGAAGTATGCTGAACATAGACACCGTACTCCATCTCACATTTCTGAAAGCCTTGTTTCTTGAAAAATGAATCAATCTTCTGATTCCAAGCTCTGGGCGCTTGTTTCAATCCATATAGAGCTTTGTATAATTTGTACACCATCCCTTCCTGATTCTTTTTCACAAATCCAGGAGGTTGTGACACGTAAACTTCTTCTTCTAATGGACCATTCAGAAATGCAGATTTTACATCTAAATGCATCAGAGGCCAATTCCTGTTAGCAGCTATTGCAATCACCATTCTGATTGTTTCATGTCTTGCTACAGGTGCAAACACTTCAGAATAATCCAGCCCAGGTTTCTGTAGAAATCCTCTGGCTACCAACCTTGCTTTATGTTTGCCAATTGAGCCATCTGGCTTTAACTTCTGCTTGAAAACCCATCTGACACTGATGGCTTTCTTGTCTTTTGAAAGTTTTGTCAGCTTCCAAGTCTTGTTTCTCTCTATAGCATCAAGTTCTTCTTTCATGGCCTTCAGCCAGAGCTTCTGCTTAAGAGCCTCCTCTGTACTTATAGGTTCAGAGTCTACTAACATGACACACTGAATAACTTCTCCTTCAGAGTCTACTTCAGTGTCTTGCAGCATGTCAAATTCTGCAAATCTTCTGGGAACGCTTCTGATTCTTTGTGGTCTCTGAACTTGTTCAGAGTCTTGAGCTTCAGAGTTTCTAACTTCAGATGATTGACCTCCAGAGCTTTGACCATCTTCAGGGTCTGGCATATTTCCAGAGTCTGAATTGCCACCAAGATCTGGATTGCCATCAGAGTCTGAATCATCAGAGTCTGGGTCATCAGAGTCACCTTCATCTTCTGAGTCATCTTCAGAGTTTGAATCAGTATCAGAGTCAGAGTCAATGTCAGGGTTTACTTCAACTTCAGAAATTCTTAACTCTGGCCTTTCTTCAGAGGTTCTAACATCAGAATCAGATTGAGACTTATCCCAATTCCAAACTTCTGATTCCTTCACAATCACATCTCTGCTGAATTCAATTTTATTGGTTTCTGGACAATAGAGCTTGTATGCACCTGTACTGTGGTACCCTATCAGAATCATCACTTTGCTTCTATCATCCAGCTTCTGTCTTCTGGCTTCTGGAACATGTTTATAGCAAACAGAACCAAATACCTTCAGATGACTAACACTTTGCTTGTCTCCAGTCCACTTCTGCATAGGAACTATTTCCTTCAACTTCTTCGTAGGACATCTGTTGAGTACATACGTTGCAGTGGCAACAGCTTCTCCCCAGAGCTTCTGAGGAAGCTTCTTCTCCTTTAGCATGCTTCTCACCATATCAAGCAAAGTACGGTTTCTTCTTTCAGCAAGACCATTGTGTTGAGGGGTATAAGGAGCAGTAACCTCATGCTCAATTCCATTCTCCTCACAGAACTTCTGGAACTCTTTGGAGTTATACTCACCTCCACCATCAGTTCTAAGAATCTTCAACTTCTGACCACTCTGATTCTCAGCCTTCATTCTGAACTTCTTGAATTCATCAAACACCTCGTGTTTGAACTTAATAAGGGATACCCATGTCATTCTTGTGAATTCATCAACAAACAACACAAAGTATTTATTCCCTCCAATTGATGCTACTGGAAATGGACCACACACATCAGAGTGTACAACTCCCAAGGCATGTTTTGCTCTTGGAGCAACTTCTGATGCAAATGGCAATCTTGGTTGTTTTCCTTCCATGCAAACTTTGCATGACTTTTCAGGCTTCTTAATTGCAGGAATTCCATGTACCAATTTCTTTGAATTCAGATGTTGTAAGCTTCTGAAATTCAAATGACCAAATCTTCTGTGCCACAGCTCACTCTCCTTCTCAGTACTTGTTGCACTAAGACACTCTGAGTCTGCAGTTCTGACATTCACCTTGAATGTTCTATTCCTTCCCTGTTCTGACTCCATAATCAACTTCTGATTACAGTCATACAGCTTCAGAAGATTGTCCTTCATGGTAACTGAGAAACCTTTCTCAATTAATTGCCCCACACTCATCAGATTGCTTCTGATGCCAGGTACATACCACACATTCTGAATCAATGCTATTTTCCCATTGTTCAGAGTCACTCTGACATTTCCCATACCTTCTGCATTAAGATATTTGTCATCAGCACATCTGATCTTTGTTCTCTTTTCAGAGTCAAAGTCAACCAGCCATTTCTTGTTTCCAGTAAGATGATTTGAACAGCCAGTGTCCATATACCACCAGTCTGTCAGATCATCAGATTCAGAGGCCATCAATAGCACAGATTCGTCATCAGAACTTCTGGCTATATTTGCTTCTTCTGATTTCTTCTCCTTGTTTGACCAACAATCTCTAGCAAAGTGACCAAACTTCTTACAACAGTAACATTGTATTTTTCTTTTGTCATACTTCTCTTTTCCCCTCTGAGCATTCTTTTGTCTATCAGAGGTTGAGCTTTCTGACTTCTGACCACCATCAGATCTTCTCCTGGCTTCTGACTGCTTCTGATACCTCCTATCAGAAGTTGCTTTCAGAGCCTGCTGTTCTACTTCCTTTTCAGAGTTTCTCTCAGTCAGACGCAACTCTTGCGCTTCTAGACTGCTCTGCAGCTCTTCAATTCTCATTGTGCTCAGATCTTTGGAATGTTCTATTGCTACCACAATGTAATCAAATTGAGGAGTAAGGGATCTCAATACTTTCTCCATGATTGTTTCTTCAGAAAGAGTTTCTCCACATGCCTTCATCTCATTAGTGATCAGAATCACTCTGGAGATGTATTCAGAAACTTTCTCATTATTCTTCATGTTGAGATTCTCATATTGCTTTCTCAAGGACTGAAGCTTCACCTTCTTCACTGATGCGTCACCACCATAACATCTCACCAGAGTGTCCCATGCAGCCTTTGCTGTTGTAGAGTCTGCAATCTTCTCAAACACGTTTACATCCACACATTGATGAATGAAGAACAATGCTTTCTGATCCTTCTTCCTTACTTCCTTCTGCGCGTTTTTCTGTTCATCAGTTGCATCTGCTGCTACTGGAACATAACCATCAGTGACAAGATCAAGAACATCTTGAGCACCAAACAGTACACGCATTTGGATCATCCAACGATTCCAGTTTTTACCATCAAATACTGGAAGTTTGGTGTTCATGTTGCCGTTTCCGTTCATCTTCTACTTTGCACAATACACTCAGAGTTTTCTCACACAGTGTTTCCCAACCCACAGAATTAAAAAATTCTGATCAGATTTTGTTCAAGATTCAACAAGAATCTGAGAAACAAAATCAAACACACAAGACCTCACGTTCACTCGTGTTTCCCGTGTTTCCCAATGAATCTGAACCGGAGCTCTAGATACCAATTGTTGGTGCAAAGATAGAATAAATGATGAAATAGGAAATATTACTAATAAGAGAATGACGGCTACAAAACATGACATTAGGTTACAATGATTGTCACCCTATTTATAAGCTAAAACTAGGGTTACTAGAATAGGATAAATACTAAAATACCCTCTAACAAACTTATGGGCTAAGAAAATAGTACAACTAAATAAATATGAATTATCATTAATATTCTAATATAGCAGAGATGAAGATATTTCGTTGGATGTATGTTGAAGCTAGACGAGATAAAATTAGAAATGACAATATTAAATAGGGTGTTGGGTAGCACCTATAGTAGAAAAGATGGTGGAAAATAGATTTAAGTGATTTGGACACGTAGAGAGAAGACTTATGAATTCTGTTGTAAGGAGCGTAGATCAAATGGAGAGTAGTCAATCAACTAGAGGTAGAGGAAGACTTAGAAAAACTATGAGAGTAATTATTAAGAGAGATCTCGAGATTTACAAGTTGGATAGAAACACGGTTTTTGATAGAATATTATGGTGTAATTTGATCCATGTAGCCGGTCGATCCCATCTAGTGGGATAAGGCTTGATTGTTGTTGTTGTAGGATTATAAAAAACCCATGTTATACCATTGATTCTCTCAAACTCAACGGTGCGTGAAAGTCATGTTCAATGAAGAGAGTAACAAAGAAATGACAAAGAGAAATGAAAATTAGAGACATGATCAAGAGACGGATAGGTGGTGTTCAAGTAATGTGAAAGGAAGAGGGTGTGTGAAAATTAAGATAGTAATTTAGTAAGAACTCATTAATCATTATATTATGCTATGGACTCTACAGTATGATCATCATGTCATACTGTGAGTTTGATTGGAACCCTTCTTATTTTAAACACACCTCCAACTTACATACCTAATAATGTCTAGTGTATTTCTTATTTCTCAACTTAGAGATTTTTTCTTCTTTTTTCATCAGTGGCCATTGAACTCGATACTCGGGGTTTACAGCATTCACACTCCACCGACCACTTGTACTGGACCCTTGTAGTATTGTGATATGGAGTGGATAGTTTACAATAGCTGTGTCTACTGTCTAGTATAAAACAAGTCTCACACCTCTGTAGGGTGCTTAGGTAACTTGGTTGTATGCAATGGGGTAATGACTGTTACCAGCAAATTATTTATTGCAGTCAAATATAACAAAAACAAATACCAGTGCAATCTTTCCTTGTTCTCCATCAAATCAAGTTATTGTTAATTCCAAAATTTGATTGGTGTGCGATTTCTGATGTCTACATTACTTCTTATTAATGATGTCACAACCAAGTAATTTTTGCTGATAACCCGTCAATTAATAAAAACACAATTCTGAGAATGCCTCTGATTGCGATTTTTCAATGGCTAGTCAATTTTTTTCTAATACCCAATAGTTGGAAATACATTTGTTGTTTTTTAAGTGTTGATACAGATTATCTATGCAGTCTCAGTTGTATTTGTCTTGTTTCATTTTAAAACTCAGTTATATTCACTTGTAATTTTAAGATCCTTTTGATTTCTCTTACAGATGGTGTATTTGGAGCTAAGATGAAGGTATAAGCTATTTCATCAAATTCTTGCTTTTATTGTTGAGAAGATTAAACACTTCATATGTTGACATGCCTCACACCTGTGCTCATGAGCAGGTAAATTTGGTTAATGATGGACCAGTTACCATGCAGCTTGATTCACAGTCACCCAAGTGAGTAGATGATATTAAATTTGAAAAAAAATACATCTTTCCGAGAATATCATTGACACTTCAAATCATTCAGAAATACAGTTGATGCAGCTGAGTCTTGATTGGAGGTTGATCCAATTTGATGAGAATGAATTTGAATTCTGACCATTGTCAACAAGACCAACTGTAAGACATTATTTTTAGTGTATTTTCTACTTGAAGCTTTTTCTTACTGATGTAGTAGTAAACTTATCATTTCATAACACTATTCTGCTCAAAGAATGATTATGTTTGTCTTTTTGAGCTTGGAACAGTGTCAGTCCTTACTAATTTGGGTGCCCTGGGATAACCAGAGAAAAGAGACTGCCTATATAATTATTTAAATATCATTCTTTTTTCGCAATCTGGATAATTGTCTGCTACCCTGTCTGTCTGATGGTTTTTTGATCTTATGCCGTGTTATAGTGATAACATGTTTTGACGTCACTGTAGATTGTTCACACTGTAGGCCAAGAACTATATGCATTTCCTGCATAGCTAAAAACACGCCATTATGATTAAATGATGTTCCATATCAATTTCTGGAACAAAATGAGCATCTGATAACCAACTTTATGATTAAAAAACCTATAAATTATAGCAATGGAGGAATTCATCATCCAATTAAGCTGAATTGGAATCAAAGTAACTTAAAACTGTAGAATAGAGGAATCACATCAGATCAAGCTCAAAATTAGAATGAACGAAACCTACATCAAATTCACATGTGGTGCCTGCGACATGTGTTGTTTCAACTTTGAGTTTGAACAACTTTGATTTAAGATCGATGCGGTGTGTGTATGTGTGGCTAGTGGTTTAGATTTCAAAGCAGATGTGGAAGCGAAGAAAACAACACGCGTGGTGGTTTGTGCTTTCTTGCTATTAATTTGTAAGTGTTTTGTTGTTTTATTGTAGTCGTAACTTCAATAAAAAATTAAAGAATGTTATTCAAAAAAGAAAGCAAAGATTAAAAAATCAAGGTATTTTGCTAATCATTTAATTTGTCTTAGCAAGTGCCCCTGTTGATTAGTAGGATTTCTTTAATCTTTCATTAAATTGTTTGTAACGTGTAAAACTACACTTCTGATATTAAAAATGGATGTGGGATTAAAATGCTAGAAAATATTGAATTTGACAAAGGGTTAGCAAGTTTTAATTAAGGACAAATTATCAGAGAGAACTTAATTTTGAATATTAGTTAAAAGAGTGTTTAGTCAGACTTTCTTTCTTCTTGAATTTTGAATTACTTAAGTTCTCTTTTTCTAAGGCTTAAGACCAAAAAGTTGAATTAGTTACGCAAAATTAAAGTGCGAATGAAAAATGAAATCCCTTTCTAGCATAAGAAACTCTACTTAAGAGACTAATTTTACTTTTTCTTCAAGTAGTTATCATTGATAGTTCAACTTTTTATAATACTAGTTACATATTTGAACTTAAACAACTTTTTATAGTACCAGTTAGATATTTGAACTTAAACAACTTTTTAGGACCGAGTTTCTATCCAAATTCTCTAGAACTTGTTATTAAACAAAAATACACAATCTTGGAAAACTGTATAATTAATTCAAATCCATTGAAGTCGCCGGTAAGAGTTGTCGCAATCGCCTTCTCATTTGTGGTCGAAGTCCAATAATCATGACGAGTACATGACCTGGTAAGAGTTGTTGCAATCGCCTTCTCATTTGTGGTCGAAGTCCAATAATCATGGCGAGTACATGAGAGATGAACCATAATGTATACACGATAATGAATCCAGGAAATGCCCAATTATGTGGGAAGAACATCAAAACCAAAGAAACTATTGAAAGTGAAGCAAACACTTCCATGAAGGTATCTAACCTTGTGGCAAACTTAAGGTTAATCCAATAGCCCATACAATATAGTAGAAAGCTAGCAATAGAAACTAGCATTGTCTTTGGATGAACTTGAAATGCAGTGGGATTATCTGGATAACTAATTTGGAGGAAAGCAAGGAGTACAAAAAACATGAAGGTCACAAGACCATGAAGAGGTTTGGTTTCTAGTTCTACTCTCATGTTGCTGTTATAAACATGAACAGGACCAACTATATTAATTGTCACTTCATGAATTCTAGTAAACTTGGATCTTGGTCTTACCAAATCATGCATGAAGCAAATTTGTACTAATAGATATTCTTCAAATATGGAATGAGATATATATAGTTATAAATAAAGACATAGCATTGCTTTTAGGTATGTTCACACACGGAAGGGGATTGTCTCTAGTAATGATGTATAAAGATAAAACATAGTCAAGTTAATGGTGAAGATTAACACCCATACACGTGGCATGGTTTACGAAATTGCCACGAACCTTCGTATTTGACAAGTATAATCAATTCAAGTAAACCCCACCACCGTACGTCATTTCACACAAACACATTTTTCATTAACAATTAATTAATAATAAAAGAAAACGTATTAATATTAATATTATAATTAAGGTAGGCTATTCGATGTGTCACTCCCATGTTTACAATTTGGGAACATGTGGATAGGAAAGAAGTATATTTATGTTTGTTATAAGATTGAAAATAATTATTTTTTAATATAAAAATTTTCCATAAAAAAAGAAAGATATACTAGTAATTTTTCATATTCTCACGAATTATTCCTAAAAGGATGGAAAGTAGATACCCATAAAATTTTATATAAATTTTATAAAATTAATTAAATCTATAAAGCTTTATAGGAATATTAAAATGTTTGTTTAATAATTTTTCAAATAAATCTTTCATCTTTATTTGCATGGATAACTAATTCTTAAGAATAAGTTGAGTTCTTATAACAAACACAAGGTATAAAATATACTATCTCCTATTTTTTATTACAGTTTTATAATACCAATAAATCGTTAATATTATTATTTTTATTATATTTTTAAATATTTATTATTTTTTTCTTTCAATTTTGTAAATTTATTTTTTTAATATTTTTATAAAACTCTTCATAATATTTTTTTTATACCATAATTATTATATTTTTTTACAATATGTGAAAGGTAAAAACAAACTCATAATAATAAAACAGAGAGAGTGTGATTTAGAATATGGTGTTCTTATAATCATTATGCAAAGGAATTATATTTCTATGTTGAAAATTTAAATTTCCAAAAATAATCATAAAATTTACTTAATTTAAAATTATAAAAATTAAAAATACAAAGAAATATAAGTGGTAGTGGGAATTTATAATTAATTAAAACTACTTTCATAATAACGTTATATTCTTATTTGCACCATTCTCCTTTTTCTTCTTTCATCTCCTTCTATCTCTTTAATTTGTAGCATTCTTCTTTTCTCTTTTCAATTCCCTCATTATCTTTTTCTTCACTTTGCACCGCACTCCTTTTGAATCGAGATTATCTTCATAGCTTCTTACAAAATTGTTGCAGTTGGCTAAATTCATCTACTTTGACATTAATTTAAACTTATGTTCAATTTAATATTTTACATTTATACAATTATTCTAAATAGTTACAAAAATTCATCTACTTTGACATTAATATTTTACATTAATTACTTTGACATTAATATTATAAATTTATGTTACAAAAATTACATTAACCCATTCAAACGCACTGAGTATTTAACTAATTTCTTACAAAACAACAAACTCTGCAGGCCAATACAACAGCAAACTCTGCCTATGTGTGCGCGGGCAAAAGGCTTTGCTCGACAGGGATTGCCTCGAACGAAGCTCCCCGTCGTCACAGTACCAAAAACGGGAAGGACACCCAGCTCACGATGGGACGTCCACGCCACGGGGAGAACTACCCCCGAAAAGACAAGTCACTAGACCAGTCATCCGGCCAGTTCCCCTCACTGCCCGGAACATTTACTGTCGAGCAATCCCCCCGAACAGCCCCACAACGGGCAAACACTTGTCAATAAAAACATACACATTTCAAGCACACGAGTATGTGCAGAAATAAAACAAGCATAAAACGACATGCAATAACAAACGAGGGCATACTTAGAAAATTTTCAAGAAATTATATTTAAACGGGCACCAGCCCAGTAGTTGTGTTACAACAGTAAAAAAGGGCACGCAAGCCCAACAAAACACTTAGAAAAATTATCACAAAAGATACAAAACATATGGCACGCAGGCCAAGAAACCACGGGCACGCAGACCCAGAACAAAATCCTATTCATCATGATCCACCTCGGCATCTTTCTCAGGGTCGCCAGCATTCTGATCATCAGCCTCAAGCGTCGTGTCGACCACCTGCCCGTCAATGACCTCACAGAAAGGGCCAATTCCATCCTCGCTCAGAATGACGTCAGGATTAACCGCCCTCATCTGCTCGACAACACCTTTGAAATCGACAACCACAGCTTCCAGGCAATCGCTCTCCAGCACCCGGATCCTAGCGAGCAGGTCTGCACGGGTAGCCATCTGCTTGTCCTCCTCCGTTTCTTCCTCAGCTGACCGAAGGGCATCTTCCAGACTACCCACGCGAGCCCGCAGATCCTGTATTTCAGCCTCGGCGGCAAGCAGTTTCTCCTCGGCAGAAATCAACTTCCCCTTAGCACATTCAGCCCTTTTTCGCTGGTCGACGGTTTCCCTCTGGCTTTTTTCCAGCTCCTCAGATAGCTTGTTCAGGCGTGACTGCGCAAAGGTGAGATTCCCCCGCAACTTGGCCAGTTCAGCCGAGGAGCAGCCTTCCTCGCTCAAGACCATCGCCGTAGCAAAAGTTCGCATCATTCCGGCCAGATCTTCCGCCAAGACCCGCCGACGAGACTCCCGATCCGCGTCCAGGATCGTCTTCACCTCCCCGGAAGAAATGGTGGGCGACCTGTCCCCGTGAAAATGGCTCGGATTCTGATGGCATGGCGGGACAACATACCCTTCCTCGGCGGACCCCGTCGTCAAGTCGATCACGGGAGCCACCTCTTCGGTTCTGGGCCTCTTCGGAATACCCTGAGTGGGGGAAGCATGGCTTCCCTGCGGAGATGATGACGAACTTGGGCCACCCGGACCTGCGGCGGCCTGCTCAACAATCTGGCCGACCCGAGTCTTCCCGACGGAAGCCCTCGATACACGCAACTTCTTCACAC